AATCGTTATAAGATTTTTTAATAATTTTACATTATTACAAAATTCCTTACCCCTGATAAACTATAATCAATAACTCAGAAATAATTAGGAACATTTCAGCATCCAAAATACAATTGATATTCCACAATTTCAAATTAGATCACTATAATACATATCACGATTAACATTTTTCAATCAATTAAATTAGAAATGATTAAATATTTCAAAATAATAACAACATAACAGTACAAAAGATATCAAAATTAATATAATTACATTGAACCACAATGAATAATGAAAAATAACTTATAAACTTGCAAATTGCCTTAAGTATGTATATTTTACTCATTAAAAAATTACTAAGAATCTATTATACTTAATGTGTCCTTCAAATATTTATGGTTGTTACATGGTACATCTTGTGGTGTTTGGAGACCAAATTTTGCCATTGGAGGCATTTAAGGAGGGGTGGTGAATGATAGGGATGGAAATGTCACATGCTCAAAGAGCACTAATTAGTAAGTGTACTAGTGTACTTGTAAGTTATAAAATTCAGAATTCGTTTGAGTCCTAAGTATCATCCTTAGGGATTAGTTCTTTCAATTACCACATTACAAATTAATAACTATTTAAGCTAAACAAAATTTGTAGTTTCTAATGCATTTGAAGAATTAAAGCAATAAAATGCAGTAAAATTAGAAAGTAATAGCAAAATAGAGTGTAAAGTTCATAAATAAGATGATATGTGAATAAAGTTAGGACTGATTTCACCTCTTTATCAATTTGCAAAACTGAATAAGATATAAACTCTAAGTTCCTTAATTGATTAATGATCAATTTCATTAGATTAATCAAAGTTCAATTCCTTGACTCATTGATCCTAATATTTAATTAACTACACTAATTCCTTAGGTGTAAATCAATCAAACATTGCATTAGGCATTAGAAATTAAGAGATCACAAGATCATGAATTAACTCAACTTTCATTGATGAAAATCCTCTAGGTTCAATTCAATTAAATAACTAATTCAAGAATTGCATTAATGATAGAATTAAATGTTTAACACATTCAAAATCTTAAAATCCAGATCCATAATCAATTTACAATATCAAAATTGGATTCATTAATATTAACAAAAAGAAATCAGAACATGTTCTTAAAAGAAAAATTAGAAAAAGAGTTGCAAAATTTCTTCATGATGCCTTACTCAATGCTTCGTAGTCTACCACTTGGTAGATGATGGATGTGGAATAGAAAGTGATGGTTTAACATCCTCATTTTTATTACTGTGTATTTGTTTTATTTGTTATTATTCTTTTATATAAAAAATTTTGATATTATGAAAACTTCATGATGTCTCGTTTAAACGAGATATGTCTCGCTTAGGCGAAATTGGTCAATTTAGACCACTCACTGCAAGTCACTCTCGCTCAGGCAAAACTGGATAATATTATCCCAATTGTCTTCTCACCCATGCAAGAAGTCATAGGAAAAAGTAAGAGCTCTTTAGACTAGTTCTTGCATAAGCGAGAAATCAACAAAGAGTGCAACATATACTTTTGCTTCATGCAAAGCCATGAAGGGAAGTTATACATTAGTAAAATCGTAGGTCATGTACTATGGGTGCCACTTTGCATCCCATAGGAATTCATTCCATCGATTGTCAAAGCAAAATATACATTTCTTGTTTTTGTTGCAAAGTTTTCATATTCATCCTCAAATCTTTTCCACTGAGAAGAATTTGTTGGATGCCTAAACTTCCCATCTCTAATCCTCCCTTCGACATGTCAAGTTAATTGCTTTGCATTTTCTACATTGCAAAACAAGTGCTTTAACTCAATATTATTGGAAATGGTGACCTTCATTAGTGTACATTCTTTCTTTAGGTATTGTGACACATTACACTTTGGACATTCTTTTAATGATGCATAATCATTTCAAAACAAAATGCAATCGATAAGACAAACATGTATCTTCTTATGACTCAATCCAATGGAAGCAAGTATTTGTTTAGCATCATATGTTCTCATAGGAAACATATTATCCTCTAGTAGTATCTTATTTAATAAGCTTAACAACTCTGTTAGACTCTTATCACTCTATCCATTAGAGGCTTTTAGGTTATAAAGTTTTAACACAACACTCAATCTTGTGAACCTATTGCATCTTTGTACAATAGTGTTTTTGCATCATCTTTCAACATCTCAAACATTTTTCGACAATCCTTAAGATCTTCTTCAACAAAATTTAGAATATTTTCAATATAATCACTCTCATCCCTAATTAATGTCTATGAGTAATACACACTAGAGTCCATGTTATATGATGTACCCTTGTCTTGTATCTCACCATGCTTTATCCAACATATATATTTTTCATCAATCTCATTATACATTAAATGTTCGTCCAATTTCTCCACATTTACTTACATTATATTCAAACAACATCAACAAGGGCAATGAATGAGGTTGATATCAATAGGATGCTCAATCCCAAATCTAATAAACTTTGTCACTTTATCTTCATTTTCTCCAACTACGCTTACAATAATTACATGAATCATTGCCTTATTTTGGTTCACATGGTAAGGCTTTATTCCATTTGAGAATAAAGTTTTTCATGCATTAATTAGCATTTGTGGCTTAAACTTTATATTTCATACTTTGCAAACTTTTGACAACATTTCACATTAGTCTCCTAGTACACAACTTAAATTTGGTATCATTTACCTCAATCAAGCAAGCGTACGCCAATAGACAGTGACATTTGTATCAAACCAAAATTTTGTCAAGTATAACATATAAGATTTTAAGAAGCATTTTCTAATTATTCAATGAAAACTTTGTTCTCAAACTATTCTACTTGACAATTTGACATTCAAAATAATGATTCCTTCAATCATTATTTTGAATGTTCTAAAGGATTTCAAGTAAGTTTCTCTAAGTTTGAAGTTAGATTTACCGTTCGTTTCTCTTCTTCTTCTTCTTCTTATAGATGTTCATGATGTTTTTAGGAAAAACTCTGTTCTAGAGTTAAAATCTTTGGTTAAATCTTTGTAAAAGCTATGTTTTGAGGTAAGGGGGCTCTACTTTATCATTTTGTTATGTTTATTACTTGTATTCTCATAGATCTTGTCATGTATGTGATTATACGTGGAATAATCCTTGTTTTATGAAAAATAATCGATGAAAAGTGAGAATAATTGGTTATTTATGTGATTTTATGATGAATACATGGTGAAAATGTGATATTATGTTCAAATAGGGCATGATAAGGTATATTGAGGATGGTTGATATGATTTTTTGATTTTCTGATATGAAATATACAAAGAGATGGATGTTTTATGTTTGAATATATTGTGTTTCATGTAAAAATTATGTGTATTGTGAATATGTCATGGTTTGATGTATATGATGAAAAGTATGTGAAAATATAATGAAAAGAATATATGTGAACATGAAAAATGGCATATGTGAATATACTTGAAAAAGTATGAGATGGAAAAAGATATTATATAAATAGTTATAGAGATACACTGAGAGAGTGGAAGATGGAGACGATATGAGATATCTTGGAGAAATGCAGGGTGGTGAGTGACATTCGGGATTGTGCACAGAATATTGTGTACGAATGCATCACATGACCGCACACTCGTTTCCCGACTTGACTCCTGACCATTACCTTTGCTAAGGGGTTGTCTATTACATGCATTGTATCCGTATTGTATTGGGCCATCCAACAACTATTTACATGGATGTATAAGACCTCGAGATAGAGACATTGGATAACTGTGGCCACAGGGCGCGGTAAGCGCGGATATAAGAAAGAAAAAGAAATTGTGATACGTAATGCCATGATGTTTTCTTTAATCGTGATAAGATGTGTTTTGTGATGAATATGTGTTATGTATGAGTGATAGGGTAGAGAGTCACCCTTACACAACAGTTTTCAGGAGACCAGGACGAATAATACCAGACTCACAGTGCATGATTGGATGAGAACTGCTATAGGACTTAATTATTTTGAGTTATGTAATGAATATTTTCAGTTTTATACCATTCTTTTGAAACAGTTGTAAAATTACTATTTCTTTTTGTGGTTGATGAAAACTTTAGAATATTTGTTTTTCTAAAGTACTTATGGATTAATAAAATTTTACTCTATGAACCTTATATCATTTCATTGTTTCTTTCTCATTAGAGAGTTTTTGAAAGAAAATTTACTTTACCATTTAAATATCAATGAAATTTTATTATATATTGAGGAAAGAAATATAAGGTGTTACAATTTTGGTATCAAAGCAGTTCATCCAGACCAGACTGGGGCATAGGACTAACATGTCTTTGTTGTGTAATAGATATACTAGAATATGAAATGATTATTTGCTAATATGGCTTCTTAGATGTGAATTACGTGAACTAGATGTATCTATGTGTATGTGAATGATAGATTAATAAGTGATTTGAGTTTATTGCGAGATTAGAGCTATGGCTGGTAGAGGTAGACCTGCTGGTGCTACAAATGAACTCCTGGAGCGCATGACCCAAGTCTTAGAGACTTTGGCACATAACCAGGAGGCTGAACCAGCTGAGTATAGAGGACTTTTTTCTTTTACTAGGCATAACCCTCCAAAATTTGAGGGAGAGTTTGATCCTGAGGGAGCTCAGAAGTGGATAGCAGATGTGGAGAAGATTTTCCATGCCATGGGATGTAGAGAGGAGCATAAGGTAACTTATATGTTGAGTGGAGAAGCTGAAGACTGGTGAAAATTTGCTAGTCAAACTCTAGTGTAGGAAGATGGTTATATTCCTTAGGAGACATTCAAGACAAGCTTCCTGGGAAATTATTTCCTTAGAGATTTAAAGAAACAGAAAGCTAGGGAGTTCCTTGAGTTGAAACAATGAAATATGTCTGTAGGTCAATATGCTACTAAATTTCATGAATTGATGAAATACTGGCCTCACTATCAATATAATGATGGAGAGGAAGATCTATATGCTTAATTTGAGCATGGGCTAATGCCAAATATTCGAGCTGCCGTTAGTGTATTTCAGCTGACAGATTTCCCCACTCTAGTGAGTAAATGCAGAATATTTAAAGCCAATACTAAGGGTAAGACGGTGGATACCAGAATCGGTGATCCTGTGAGGCAAGACCGAAGACCTTCAAGATTTTCTAGAGGACCTTACTCTAGTCCAAATCAGTCTCAAGTGAAAAGGACTATATCTCAAGAAGATAGTAGTGGTGGTTCTAGTTCTTTCAGAAGGCCACTAAAATGTTTCAAGTGTGGTGGACCACATATTAAAAAGAATTGTCCTCAACTTCCACCAACATGTGACATTTGTGGAAAAATGGGACACTATGCAAGTGTCTGTTGGTCTGCTCCACAAAAGAGAGGAAGCATGAGCGTGGTACAAAGACCTGAATCTAGAGCGAGCATTGGAACAAAGCCAACTATGAAAGGCAAAGTTTTTGCTATGAGTGGAGCTGAGACTTCAAAATCAGAGGAGCTTATTAGAGGTAAATGTATCATAAAATACCGACTTTTAGATGTGTTATTTGATTCTGGTGCTACTTATTCCTTTATTTCTGTGGATTGTATGAGATGTCTAGAATTACCTTTATCTGAATTGTCTTGTGATGTCATTGTATCTACTTCTATGGGTAAGCCCGTAGCAACTTCTTTTGTGTGTTTAGGTTGTCCTGTGATGGTACATGGTAGAAGTTTTAGTATAGATTTGATTTGTTTACCTCTTTCCCAACTTGATATAATTTTGGGAATGGATTGGTTGTCATCCAACCATGTTCTATTGGATTGTAAAGAGAAAATTTTGATTTTTGGCACTAAAGTATCAGAAAGTGCTAGACTCTTAAGTCCAGATCCGTTGGGAAATGTAATGAGTGCTAAGGCTTTCATGGTTCTATTTTTAATTGAGACTGAAAATGAAATGAAGCCTGAGTATATCCTAGTGGTGAGAGATTTTTTACAAGTTTTCCTTGATGATGTTATTAAATTGCCACCGGAATGAGAGATTGAGTTTACTATTGATCTCATTCTGGGAGAAAATCCTATTTCTGTTGCACCATATAGGATTTCACCAGTGGAATTGGCTGAGGTAAAGAAACAGGTAGAAGAATTATTGCAGAAAAGGTTTATAAGGCCAAGTGTGTCACCTTGGGGAGCACCTGTTCTTTTGGTGAAAAAGAAATATGGGAGCATGAGGATGTGTGTTGATTATAGGCAGTTGAATAAGGTAACAATAAAGAAAAAGTATCCTATTCCTCGAATTGATGACTTGATGGATCAGTTACGAGGAGCTTCCGTATTTTCAAAGATTGATTTGTGATATGGTTATCATTAGATCAGAGTCAAGAGTGAGGATATCCCTAAAACAACGTTTAGAACCCGCTATAGCCACTATGAGTATCTAGTTATGCCATTTGGTGTGACTAATGCTCCTGCAGTATTCATGGACTATATGAATAGAATTTTTCATGAGTTTTTGGATAAATTTGTTGTAGTATTTATAGATGATATTCTAATTTATTCCAAGACTCTTGAAGAACATGCAGAACACTTGAGAATTGTTTTGCAGATACTAAGAGAAAGATAGTTGTATGCAAAATTTTCTAAGTGTGAATTTTGGTTACCACAAATCCAATTTTTGGGACATATGGTATCAAAAGATGACATTATGGTGGATCCAGTAAAGGTTGAGGCAGTGGCTCAATGGCCAAGGCTTACTAATCCAATAGAAATTCGCAGTTTTCTGGGACTAGCTGGCTATTATAGGAAATTCATTGAAGGGTTTTCTAAAATAGCTTTTCCTTTGACGAAGTTAATAAGAAAAGGAAAGGAGTTTGTGTAGAATGAAAAGTGTGAAGCTAGTTTCCAAAAGTTGAAAGAAAAGTTAACATCTGCCTCTGTCTTAGTTTTGCCTAATCCAGAACAGAAGTTTGATGTGTATTGTGATGCATCTGGACAAGGGCTTGGTTGTATCTTGATGCAGGATGGAAGGGTAGTTGCTTATGCTTTGAGGCAGTTGCGTCCTCATGAAGTACTCATGACCTAGAATTAGCCGTGATGATTTTTGCTCTTAAGATATAGAGACATTATCTATTTGGGGCGAGATTTAAGGTATTTAGTGATCACAAGAGTTTGAAGTACTTGTTTGATCAGAAAGAGCTAAATATGAGGCAGAGAAGGTGGATGAAATTTCTGAAGGATTATGATTTTACATTGTCTTATCATCCTGGGAAGGCAAATGTGGTTGCTGATGCTTTAAGTAGGAAGTCCTTGCATATGGCAAATATGGTGGTGAAAGAATTAGAATTGATTAAGAATTTCTGAGATATGAATTTGGCAGAGGAGGTGCGACCTCAGAGTTTGTCTTGGGACTTTGATAATCAACAATGATTTCTTGGTTAGGGTTCATGATGCTTAACAAGAAGATGTGTTCTTGTAGGAAATGATGAGGCAGAGGGGTGAAGGAAAGGATTTGGAGTTCCATTGTGATGCAAATGGATTGATTAAGTTCAAGAACTGTGTGTATATTTCTTTTAATAATGAGCTTAAGCAGATGATACTCGAGGAAGCTCATAAAAGTAGAATGAGTTTTCATCCTGGTGCGAAAAAAATGTATCAAGACTTGCGTAAGAATTTTTGGTGGAATAGAATGAAGAAGGATGTGGCTGAGTATGTGGCAAAGTGTTTAATTTGTCAAAAGATGAAGGTAGAACATCAACGTTCACCTGGGATGTTGCAGCTATTAGAAATTCCTGAGTGGAAGTGGGATAGTATTTCTATGGATTTTGTGTCTGGTCTACCAAGAACCAAGAGTAATCATGATGCAATTTGGGTGATAGTAGATAGATTAACTAAAGCAGCTCATTTTCTTTTCGTTAATATGAAGTACAAGTTGGAGAAGCTACCAGATATGTATATGAGAGAGATAGTTAGATTGCATGGAGTGCCAACTAGTGTTGTGTCAGACAGAAATCCAAGGTTTACATCAAGATTTTGGGAGAGTCTGCAGAAAGCCTTGGGTGCTAAGTTAAAACTTAGTTCAGCTTATCATCCACAAACTGATGGTCAGACTGAAAGAACAATACAATCCTTGGAGGATTTGTTGAGAGCTTGTGTGATGGAATAGCAAGGAACTTGGGAGGAATGTCTACCTTTGATGGAATTCACGTATAATAATAGTTATCATGCAAGCATCAGAATGGCTCCATTTGAGGCTCTGTATGGAAGAAAATGTAGAACCCCTTTATGTTGGTATGAAACTGGTGAGGCGATCCTATATGCGCCAAATATGGTTCAAAAGCAACATGAGCAAATCAAATTGATCAGAGAAAAGATGAAAATAGCACAAGATAGGCAAAAGAGTTACTATGATAAGAGGAGAAAACCTTTGGAGTTTTAGGTAAGTGATCATGTGTTTCTGAAAGTTTCACCTATAACTGGATTTGGAAGAGCTTTAAAATCCAAGAAGTTATCTCCTAAGTTTATTGGGCCATTTGAAGTGCTAAGTAAAGTTGGTCCTGTTACTTATGAAATTGCTTTGTCTCCAAATCTCTCAAACTTGCATCCTGTATTTCATATATCTAAGCTTAGAAAGTATATTTCTGACCCTACTCATATGATAGAACTTGATCCTATTCAAGTGAGAGAGAATTTGTCATATGATGTATAACCGGTAAAAATTGTTGATCGTCGTATTAAGAAATTAAGGGGTAAGGATATTTCACTTGTTAAAGTAATATGGAATACTAGTGATGAGGGAGATGCCACGTGGAAAACTGAGAATAAGATGAGAGAATTATATCCTGATTTTTTTGTAACTTAGCGAATTTTGGGAACGAAATTCCTTAAAGGAGGGAAGAATTGTAATATCCTATACTTTGATTTAAATAAAATGAGGGTTGTTAAAGTATAATTGGAATAGATTTAGATAGAATTTATATTTAAAAAAATAAAATAAAATAAAATAAAAATATGAACAGTAAAACCGCCTATAAACAATGTCGATGAACAATAAAACAACCTATGAACAGTATAAACCGCATATGAACAGTGAAACCGCCTATGTACAATGACTGATGACGTCATCAGTGACATCAGCATGACGTCACATTTACGTACAGTTCATGTACAGTACGCGTGCACAGTGTTTTCGGCGTAAACAGTGACCGCGAACAATGTTTTCGGCGTGAACAGTAAGACAATGAACAGTGTTTCCGGCGATAAACAGTAATTTCGGCAGTGAACAGTAAATTTCAAAAGTTTTCTATAAAAAGAGAGTTTCACACGAAATTTTTATTTCTTCACTCTTATCCAAGGTTCTCAAAGGTTCTAAGGCTATATCTCACCATTTTCTCTCATACTAAACCCTCATAAACTTAGATTTCTCTTTAGATATGTGATTCTACGTCCATTCTAAAGGATTTCAAGTAAGTTTCTCTAAGTTTGAAGTTAGATTTTCTGTTCGTTTCTCTTCTTCTTCTTCTTCTTATAGATGTTCATGATGTTTTTAGGAAAAACTCCGTTCTAGAGTTATAATCTTTGGTTAAATCTTTGTAAAAGCTCTGTTTTGAGGTAAGAGGGCTCTACTTTATCATTTTGTTATGTTTATTACTTGTATTCTCATAGATGTTGTCATGTATGTGATTATACGTGGAATAATCCTTGTTTTCTGAAAATAATCTGTGAAAAGTGAGAATAATTGATTATTTATGTGATTTTTTTATGAATACATGGTGAAAATGTGATATTATGTTCAAATAGGGCATGATAAGGTATATTGAGGATGGTTGATATGATTTTATGATTTTGTGATATGAAATATGCAAAGAGATGGATGTTTCATGTTTGAATATATTGTGTTTCATGTAAAAATGATGTATATTGTGAATATGCCATGGTTTGATGTATATGATGAAAAGTATGTGAAAATATAATGAAAAAAAATATATGTGAACATGAAAAATGACATATGTGAATATACTTGAAAGAGTATGAATGGAAAAAGATATTATGTAAATAGTTACAGAGATATACTAGAGGAGTGGAAGATGGAGACGATATGAGATATCTTGGAGAAATGCAGGGTGATGAGTGACATTTGGGATTGTGCACGAAATATTATGTACGAATGCACCACATGGTCGCACACTCGTTTCCCGACTTGACTCCTGACCATTACCTTTACTAAGGGGTTGTCTATTGCATGCGTTGTAATGTTGTATTTGTATTGTATTGAGTCATCTGACGACTATTTACATGGATGTATAAGACCTCGACATAAAGACATCGGATAACTGTGGCCACAGGGCGCGGTAAACGTGGATATAAGAAAGAAAAAGAAATTGTGAACCTGTAGAATATAATATGTGTTGCGATGGGAACATGCTTTATATGACATTGTGATATGTAATGCCATGATATTTTCTTTAATTGTGATAAGATGTGTTTTGTGATGAATATGTGTTATGTATGAGTGGTAGGGTAGAGACTCACTCTTACACAATATTTTTCAGGAGACCAGGACGAATAATACTAGGTTCACAGTGCATGGATAGATGAGAACTGCTATAGAACTTAATTATTTTGAGTTATGTAATGAATATTTTCAATTCTATAGCATTCTTTTGAAACAGTTGTAAAACTTCTATTTCTTTTTGTGGTTAATGAAAACTTTAGAATCTTTGTTTTTTTAAAGTACTTATGAATTAATAAAATTTTACTCTATGGATCTTATATCATTTCATTATTTCTTTTTCATTAGAGAGCTTTTGAAAGAAAATTTACTTTACCATTTAAATATTTATAAAAATTTATCATGTATTGAGGAAAGAAATATAAGGTGTTACAACCAATGTTGTATTAGGATTTTCAGTCTAGGCACTAAACAAGCTTGCTTACGCTAGTATCCATAACATACAACAAGCACATAGAAAATGAGAAAAAAAATGTTCCTTATTATTAGGAGTGTGAAATTGGGCTTGACTTGATAAGCTGGCTTGTCTAACTCACTAAAAATGGTGAGTCAAGCTAAATGCTTTGAACCTGCTCACCCTTCATATTTTAGTCCGTCAAAATGTAAGGATCAAGACAAATTGAACTGTTAAGCCTATTTTTAATTTTTAAAAATAATTATTTATTAATTTTTATTAATATTAAATATTTTTAAAAAAATTTCTATTTCTTTTATAATTTAGGTCGGCCAACCCATTAACCTATTGGCCAATCAACCCTTTCTTATTATTTTTTTTTTTTTAGCAAGCTTGCCCGTTTAGCCCATTGTTAATTAGGTTGAGTTAGAAAATCTAGGTCATTGTCCATATAAGACTAGGTAGGCTAGCTTGTTTTTGGGCCATATCATAGGAATGTTTATATCATAAACCAATCAAATCTAATGTGAATAATAAAAACCAAACTTAAAAACCAAAAACTGAATTAAAAAAAAAAAACTGCAAAGTTAAATTGTTTTTTTATTGAATTAGATTAAATTTCATATCTAATTTTAAAAACCAATTCAATCCATATCAAACTCTAATTTATAATATGATTTTAATTATGAAACTACTTACTCACTTACACATATATAACTATATATTTATTTATAACATAATTATTTTTCATAATTTCACACTCATTTACATCTTATTATTATTTAGAAATATTTTATTATAATATTGTGTTTATAATTTTTTCCATTTTAAATTAATTTAAAAATATTTATTATATTTTTTTTATAAGTTTTATTTCTATATTAAATATAGAAAAAATATAAAATAGTTTATTTACATCTTTTAATTAAACTAAAATAATAAGAATTATATTTGGAAATTTCGCAGCAATTGTATGAGATATTTGAAAGTTTTTATTCTAAAATTAGTTTTAAAAATTTCAAAGATATGTATTGTTGAATTTATTTAATTTTAACTGCATATTTAATTTAAAAGTACATAATTTAAAATTAACGTATTTAATCCAATTCAAACTGTATTTTATTAAATCAAAATGGTTTAAAATTGATGTTGCTTTTGAATTGATCCAGATTGAACCCACAACATTTTTTTTAATCAAATTGAATGACTGTTTCTCTTAAAATCAAACCGGTCTAATATGTAAATAACCACCTTAATGGTAGGGCTGATCCGTCAGCTGCTGGTCATTTCACGTCATTGCCCTAAGTCTTCCGGAATCAATATTTAATAGTCACGTGTTGCTCCCATTCTTTCTCAAGGTCAACCAATTAATATTTTATTGCCATTATAGCCACATGGCAATTAACATTTTCTTGATGATAAAGCATATGTGCAAGATACACATGGCACGAGGAATTATAAATTTAAACCCAGCTTTTCCAAGAACCCCTGTCCTTACAATCAAATGGAACAAGAAAATACATAATAAGAAACCAAACAAGTTGAAGTGTTAGCAGAAATAAGCACAAACCGGAAATCCAAAGTTTCAGTTCTTCCTTCTTCTTCTCAAAAACGGCATAGCACTAAAAGCTCCAGTGGAGGCTCCACTATTGTTATGAGCATTCTCTAGTATCGAGTCCCCTATGTAAGAATGATCATAACTACTAGCATTTACAAGGTCATTTGATTCTTTATTGAATTTACAAGAGGCCGCTCCATCTTGTATTCCATTATCAGCCTTTTCAGTGTCAGACAACAATCTATCTGAATTATTTTTATCACGGTCAGTTTCATCCAAAAAATCAGAACGTGGAAATTCAGCACTATAATTCACTGTTGCAGTATGCACACAATCAATTGAATTATGCTGGTTACCTGTCTCACTATCATCTAAACAGAATCCACCTCCCATTTTAAGGTAGTCATCAGAAGACACGTGGTTGCCAGTCCCGGGATGACTAGTTTGACCAGCATCAGTGTGAAACCAACCTTCTGACTTAAGATGACTGGGCAAGTTATCCTTTAGAGGAAAATTCTTTGCACTGCATTCTTTCCCCATGCTAAACTCAGTTGCAAAATCATCGCATGCACCATGAATATGAGATAAATTCTCTTCTATTGGCACTTCAAGAAAACAAGTCTGATTGCTCTGATCAAATGAATCATCAGCATCTTCAATTTCAAGGTCTTCGAAAGAATAGTTGACAGGTTTCCGACATCGCATTGACTGGAAAGCACACAAACTGTTAGTGGAACAGGTTCAAATCTAATTCCATCAAGATGGAGGGTTCCTTTTCTTTTTTTTTTTCTTTTTGATTTACTACCTAGCAGAATTGTAAAGCTTTACTTTCTTTTTTAATTTTATTTATCACCTAGCAGAGACATTTCATGAAATTGAAAGGACTACAAAGCACCAAAGAGAGCTATTTTTGTTTATTACTTTATTATTAGACTGTGTTTTGTTCAATTGGGGGTAGGGGAGGAGAGATTTTATTGAAGAGTAAGAAAGGACAGGAGAGGGGAGGGAAATTAAAATCCCTTTGTTTGAATAAAAGAGAGGGGAAGGGAGAGATTTAATTTTTATTTTTCCTCCCTTAGTTTGGTTTGTAAGGATAGGGAAGGAAAATAAAATGAAGTTAATGTTACACCTTATGACATAAGAATTGTTAGACAAGTTACTAATGAAACTTCTCTTTCCTTGTGACAAATGCAAGGCATGTAAATTATTTATTCTTCATACATATTTACTTGTCTGAATATATTGCTATATTTTGTTTTTCAACACAATTTGCTTAACAAAATTGGATTACCAAAAACTAAAACTATAAATATGATTTTAGAGCCCCAAGCATAAAAGCACCTGGATACCGAGAAGAAAAATAGTACATGAATAAAGGTGATGTACCTAGAACAAATAATTGTGAAGTGAGACTAGAAAGGTGCGATATTGTGGCGAAGGAGATGTGTATGCATAAAGAAACTGAGGAAGGGATGTTGTGTTTAAGTCTGTTAGAATTATGTAATTATAGTAATGTTGTAAATAAGAAAATTAGTATTTTTGTGGTTACGGTAAATTATGTAATTGAATATTCTATATTAATAATCCCTATCATATAATATATGCTCCATTGTGTAATCAAGACACACGGATTCATCCTATGTTTCTCATTCTTTTTTCTCAGTAGTGTCTATGAAGGAGAACCCATGGTTTCAAAGTTCGGGCCAGTTAGACTTGAAAAGTAATCATAAATCAACTTAGTCATTTATGGCTTAATTTAGGTGAATTTCTAATGAAGTCCTTACAAGAGAAAAAGATAAGAAAATAAATAAAACTTCTTTTATTAGTTAGAAACAACTTATTTCCTCAAATTTTATAAAAGTTAAATGAAAGAGCTTCTTAGAACTTCTAAAAATATAGAAAAGCATAAGTTGTTTCTAACTTATGATAAGACTTTTATTCATTTTTATACTAATATTTTTATCCTGTAGGGACTTCTCTAGGAGTTTACCCAAATTAGGCATAAGTCAAAAATAATAAAAGCCGCTTTCCCCTCCCCTCCCCTCCAAATTCCCCAATTTTGGAGGTACAGCTAAAATAAGAAAGAGGGGGCCTCCCTTATTTTCCCTCCCCTCCCCTCTAAATTTTTGAAACAATCAGAGTCAAATTTAAAAAATCCTTCCCCTTTGTTTCCCTCCAACCAAATACACTGCAAGAATAAAAGGTTGCTAACAAATTTTTTCATGTCAAAAATCAAAAGAATTGGAATGAAGCTTTACCCTTCGCACTTCTGTTGGAACCTTATCTGCATGCACTATTGGCTCATGATCTTCAATGTCACTACTACTAGATGAGGTTTCAGCATGACTTTTCTTCTTCCTTCCTTTTTTCATTCCCGTACCTCTACTACTTCTTCCTCTGCCCCTTCTATTCCAAATCATTGCCTCATCATCACGCTGCTCTTTTGTCTGCATACACGGCTGTAAATTCTCCACCTCAGATGTACCAGGTGCAGAAGATGGATCATCAATGATTTTCTTTTTCTTTGACTGCACTTTAGCAACAGTATCCCCATCATCCTTCCTTTTCCTTGATTGCTTTATTTTTGATTCCCTACCTTCAAGACTTTCCTCTGTTCTGCTTGAAATCTCCAATTTGCTATCCTCAGGTTCTTTCCCATCCTTCCTATTCTTGTACAATTTTGCAGAATCATCTATCAAATCTGAAGGCTGCTGACCAGTGATTCCTTTTACTGCTTTCTTAATTCTCTTGCTACGGAATTTTGCAAATCTTTCATTGAAACTGTAAAATGCTTCTAATCGCAGTTGAGTCTATATTAAAAGATTAAGGAAGTATCAGGATATCCATAATAATTAGGAGCATTGAGCAGACAGCAGGCAATTAACAGCAGCAAGAAGATCAATAAAACAAAGTTTCTAACCTCATGTTTGTTATATTCCTTTAACACAGGTAATAGCAACTCATCTGCTTTTTGGCCAGTCCACCCAAATTTCTCCCAGCACAATCTGCACAAAGGAAGTAACTAAAAATGTCAGAGGATATAGAAATACAAGTTTAAACAAGATTGCGAACATTCCAAAAGTGAGATCAATACAGTCTCAACTCTCAAGATTTACAATAATCATACTCAAATTGATAACATTCATAGAAAAGCATGGATTGATTTCTGTGAAGACTGCAAGTTTATCAGGCTCTACTGCTCAAACATAGCATGAAGTATTGACTTTAAAACCCCTTCAAAGAATCAATGCAGATACATGTTAAAGATTAAAAATCAAATTCAACCAAGGGTAACCATCCAAAGAATAGCTTTAAGGAACTAAAACTCTCAACTAATCCCTACCCAAAAAAGCTACTGCATCAAGGACAGTGACCATTCCTAAAATGCATGCCAACAGGATTAAGCATAATATTGATTTGTGAAAGCAAGAATAAAGCACAACCGGATAACACCCTTTTTCCTGGATTTAAGAGAGTTCTATTGAACCTCAGTGGGAATTGGAGATGAGAATTTTGAGAGATTAAACCCTCGCAATATAACAACAATCTCCTGCTTTTCTAGGCATATCCGTATATAATCTCATCAATGAACTGAATGGTCATTTAATGGAAAAAAGGGATATGGAAAGAAGTAAACAGATATATAAACTCACTTGCGAAGAATAAGATGATCTGGCTTTCCCCACGTGAAGGGATCAGTTGACTTATCAACATGTGGAGCAGAGTAAGCAGATATAACTGTTTCACTCGGAAAAGAAGAAGGAATATGCCAATTCTTGCTAACATTTCTCTATTAAGAAAACAAAAAAATCAGAAATGTCATAGACAAGCACAATACAGTAAATGCAAAACTATCCTTCATTAGTACAGGAGAGAGCACAAAAGGCAGGAAATCTATTACATGCTTATCGAAGAAAATTTGCTTTATTTCTTGGTTGTAATCTGGTAACTCCTTTTGCTCCTGCGGATGGGGGATGTTCTGGTCTGATGCAGACTTGCTAACATTGCAATTTGAGGAATGTATTTTTTCTTCTACTTTTGACCCTTTCTTTCTGCTACTGGATCCACTTTTAGTATCCAATCTTCCAAGGATGGTGGGATCTGGTGACTCAACCCATTGCCGGAATTTCAGGAGGCCATCTTCCTCAGGGAACGCATTCACAACCTCAATAGCATTAACAATGCCAATCCCGCTACATTAGCATGCCACCCAAAAAGATCTAGTAAGTTGCAGAAACAACATATATAAAAGTACCACAGAAATCCTACTACAAAGAAATACATGGAACATCTACCAAATATCTTATTACATGTTGGACAAAGAAGAGTCAGATATAGACATTTAGCAACATCTCCATGCCTAAAGGCACTGGTTCACTAGCCAAAATACACTACAAGGTAAACGTTGGCCCACCTTACACCTTCAGTATAATCACTCCCAAGAAGAAGAGCCATGCGTATTAATTTTTCTTTGGTCAATCCAAGCTCCTTTTCAATGTCCTGAATCAGCCAAAAGAAGCATGGAAATGAACAATTTTACAACAGAAATTTATTCACAGATACAGCCTTTAACAAATACGGACCTCCATGAAGTATGTCTCTACGTATTTGCGGTCATCAAATATATTTTTGTAAACATTGCGTGCCCCAAACAGAAGGACATCAGAATCATCGGTCACAACCCCATCAACTAGTTTTGCAATTTCCAGATAAGCACATTGTGCTTCTGCTTCCATTGGAGCAATAATATATGGCAAGCCAAACATTTGCAGTAGTTCCTACAGAGTATCGGATGCATCAGCAACACAAGGTATCAAAATAATTCAGGCCTGGAAAATCACTGATCAAGTGATATACATATATTGAATGAGAACAGTGATAACTAGCACTTGCAGCTAGGATAATTAGTTAGGACAGTCATAATAGTTAGTAAGGAAGTTAGTGATTTATATAAATACGAAAATATAAAGGGAAAGGAGTCATTCAGTCTTGTATCATTTTGAGAATTGAGCTTTAGCTCTTTATGAATGGAGAAATACTTTGTGAAGGAGAAACCCTAGGAGGAAAGTTCTCTCCTTTGTTCTATTCTTTTGCAAGCAATCAATAAAAACAATCTTCCTTTCCTTTTCTCTATTTTATAATTTGGGTTCCTAATAAAATGGTCCAGCCTGCTGATAGAACTGGACCAAAGAGATTAGAACAGAAAAGAAAAAGAAAAGAGACAAAATCCTAGGAAGAATCATGTTTTATTGAGAAATGACTCTTGTTGGTGGAATTGATACCCCTACACTAGTGCAGAATGGTTTACAACAAATCTGGTAACAGTCCCTATCAGGTATTCGAGAGCCTAATCTCTCCTAGTCCAATCCAAGTGATTAACCAAGATGTCCCCCACTTCCCTCTCTTTCTCCTATTCCTATTTATTTCCCACTTGTGACTGTTGGTTAGTTATCAGTTATTCTATTACTGATCTGGGGCTGGCCCACCTTTCTTTTTCGTGACATACACCTTCCTAATTAGAGGCCAGATCTGAAATCCGGGGAGAACAATCTCTAGTCAGAGAAGAAAAGGAGAATTCCATGGTGATCTTGAAGAAAGAGACCTGTGATCGCAAATTATAGCCTCATTCTTGGAAGCCTAGTATTTCTGATCTTGAGCAATTGTTGAAGCAGTTAACAATGAAACAAAAAACACAAAAACCGGATAGGTAAAAGAGGTGTTTGTGAAGGGGGTAGCTGATTCTTGTGGATTGCAGCCTCATTCTTGCATGGCATTTCAGAGCTAAAGCACATGATGCACAAGATATTGAATTCTCCCCATCCAACTATGCAAGACAAGAACAACATGGGGGGTAGTAGGACAGAATGCAGTGAAGCAGTGGCTAGCTTTTGGAAAGAAGGGTGGGGTTACCCACATTTGATGGAAGCTCGGGTGGGGGGACTACCTACCAATAAAGGGGAACTCTGTTCAGCAGCCAAATGGAGTTTGAAAGAAAGTCCATCCTCATGAGAATCCTCAGAACCTTTTAGACTATGTTGCCTCCCTCTGGTCCCGCCTTTCCTTCTCCCACTGATCCACTTGAATGGCATAGTGTCTGAGGTTTTCTGATAGAAACTGGTTGCAATGAAAAGAAAATAAAATCCTTATTGAGAGAAAAACACAATTCCAGCCCTACTCCCAATGTGGAAGCAGAACAACAAATTAGGGAAATAATACAGCAATAACTCCCCTTGATATTCGAGAGACTAGGAAACTCCCACAACTGAATTATTTTTACTCCCTGTCCTCTCTCTTTCCCTCTCTATTATTGATACCATCTCTGCCATTTAAAATTATGTAACTAACAAAAGTTCTCACCAACAGTCCCAGCCCTACAAATGAACAAATGATAGGAATTGTGCCCTGCCCTCTAGGTGGGGAAAGGTCTACCAGCGGAGATCAAAGACTATTGCGCCTTAATGTGTTAGGGGCAAAAGGGAAAATTTGTAAAAAGTTAGTTAGAGCTAATTCTGTTATATTGAGAGTTGCTGTATGGAGTGGGCATCTGGTGATTGGAACTGATATTTGGGGCAGAGAGATTCTCTCTTGCTGGGGGAGCATTGCTCTCAGAAATTCTTCACTCTTTACCTCTTCCTATTTTCTTCTTTCTATGTTCTGCAGGCATCCTTGATACTATACGTATCAACAAACTAACCAACCTACTCTAACTAACTAATTACTCTACTAACTAACTATCATAGAGGTTATCTATCATGTTCCTTGAGACAACCCTGATTGCAACTCCTCCAATAAACGATTGAAAGATGATTGCATTTCAGCTTGTGTTCTCACTTGCCCATCACCTAACACCTTCGCCACAGCTTTGAGAGTAGACACAGGCATCCATGGCAGTGCTACCAGCATATCTGTGGTTGGGCATACACTCCGCCAATTGATTAGGAAGGTCAGATCAAATGTCAGAAACCAATAAATGCAAATGGAACAGACTAAATTAAGAAAGAATGTATGTCAAATCTGCAATGCCCACAGAGATAGGCTCCTATTCCACTACTCACAGAAAAGTTAAGAAATTGACTTCTCCCACAAGTTATGACCCATGTCTCCATAAGAAAATATACGTGGTATAAGTTATAACCATTTCCTATTTTTATTTCCCATTCTGCCCCCCTGGCTCCAGCCCCTTTTTTATTGCTTCAGCTATATATCTTCCACACCCAAGGCCCATGACTGAGTTGGACTGGCTTCACTAACTCTTGGGGCCTTACACCTTTTCAAATTATCACATCAGTGAGCTATAAATATTTCAAAACCTTAACAATAAAATGTAAAATAGAAGGATGATGCCAAAGCCAATTAACCATGTTATTTAACAGCATCCAAGTGTAAACTATTCGTCAACTGGTGAGCAAACAGCATTAAAAAAAATCACTAAAATGAAATGCTTTTATGCTAGTGGCACCTATTCACACAGTATCTAGCTTTATGACTTTCAAATTGCATAATAAGTTTTTGGCTGATATATAAGCATTAAAATTAATATTCAGTCCCACTATATGAGCGTTCGTATGTTTTAATCTACCTTTACCAATTGAACTAATTTTCAGCAGAACCTTTGAGATTAAACAATTGTCTTAAAATTCTTGTTTAATGTTTGAAGTAGCATTTCTCTATGTGTTCTCTGAAACATAAGAATTCCATCCATATTTCCCTGTCAGTGCTGATTAATTGCTTTCCTAATCTTGAAAATAGAAATAAAATAAAAAAACAAATACAAGGTAAGAGTTTCATATTAGATCAGTACCAGAAGAATGCAAAATACAAACTACTTTTACTTATTCAAGAATTTAGCAGATATGTGTGTTGGTTAAAACCAAGTGTCTTCTCGGATAGCAGTTGAAATCCTGATTGCATGATGTAAACTGTGTTTCTACAGTACATATTTATTTGGGTGCCTTTTAAAATTTTCAAAATCAATTATATGGTGACTATAAATGTGTTAGGATACTAGAGTCCCACGTTGGAAATATGAGATTCTAATGTAGGGTTAATCAGGACTTAGGCTCTCCAAATACAAGGGCTAGGTTTTGTGGTATGGTTCTCCCAAGGTTCTTATCAAATTGTTTTTGACAAGTGAAAATTTTAATTTTTCTGTCAAAAAGAATTGATTCCGGGTGTGAGATCCACAAATTATCTACAGGACAGTTCTTGTTTGAGTGCCTTTCAAAATTTTCAAAATCAATTTTACAGCAAGTAGAATTGATTTTGAGAGAAGTGGAAACTTTTAACTTACCTGATAAAGAATTGATTTTGGGTGAGATCCACATATACATATCATATTTGCACTCTAGATGTGATTCTCCCTTACTATCTGAACAAAATCAATTCTTCTATCCTCACTTTTAAAGCATCCTTCCCAAACACAAATAAACTTTCAAAACCAATTCTTTTAATGTCAATTCCACCAAAATCTAGAACAGATAGACCTTAAATTGGCAGAAAAAGCATGAATATCTCAGTAGCAGTTTGAAAAATTAATAACTAGCCGTGATATGATATCACATTAGTCGCGCACCTGACAATCGGTGAACAATTCACTGTTTACAGATTCTGCATTACGCTCTAGCTTCCTCTGCTCATTTTCTAGGTTGATATATTCTTGACCAAGAATTTGCATTTCTTCCTCCAGTCTAACCTCAGGTGCATGAGCAGGAAAATCTCCCAGCATCTTAACTGCATCTTTTCCAAGGCTACTAGTTATTTCCTCATAGAAATTTCCATTATTGTTCTCTGAAGGCAATTTTGGCTCAATATCAAGGTCTTCTTTTGATCCTTTCAAGGATGATTCCACCAAAAGAATAGCTGGTTTGGTATTGTCAGTAGATTTACTCAATGCTTTAGATTCCTTACTATAGTTCTGTTTCTCTTCTTGAGTTTCAGCAAGTGGATCAACCTTGGATGTATTGTTGCAATAGAAAGACACTTTACCTTCATCATGTTCATCCAATAATTGCTCTGCAACCATGGGGACCTCATCCTTCAACATTACATTTGCATCTGAAATTGAATCTTCAGAACAAGAGTGTCTGTCCAATCCGCAAGGTTTGTCAATCAATATCTCTGCGTTACTGGAATTTATTGTCACAGATGACTTTGGCTGACTTCCATTAAAATGGGAAGTTTGTGCATTATTTCCAGCCACATAATCATGCTTTTTATATCTGTCTTCAATTTCATGTAATTCATTTTGTTCATTACTGTGTTCCCTACACAAAGTGAAACTGTTCATACTATCTTTATGATTCAGGAACCCAAGGTTTTCATTTAAATTCACTAGGACAGAACAATGCAGATCATCTCGATGTTCTAAACTGTGATCCAATTTGTTCTCATAAGCATTCAAATCCTTATCTAGAGATGACATGCATTTAAGTTTGCCATCCCCTGTACTTTCAAGACTTCTCCTTATTGCCTCTTGCAAATCAGACTCCTCCTCCAACCAACCTTGAGATGCCAATTTTCCTGACAGTAAGGTGCTGTTAGCACCATCGCAATCTCCTTCCTCCCATTCTACTCCACCATCGTTAATATTATCCTCATCTGCAACAGAAGACTTCAATTTTACCTTATCATGTTCAGGAAAAATGTTATTCTTACCTTCAACAATTCCTTCTTCCCAACCACCATCTGAATCAGAATGAGATGGTAGCTCTGTTTCTGCAGTATCATCAGCAGAAAAGATTGCCACTGGATTTCCTCCTACTAAACTGGAAAAAATATCATCCTCACCATTTGTAAACTTATTATTGCAATCGTATTCAAAAGATATATCTATAGTAGTATCCTTATCAGGCATTGATTGTTCATTTTGCCCATTATCTCCAACTAAGTCAACATTGACCTCTCGTGAATTACCAACAAACTGGATCCCAGAACTTTCTGATGGATCATTATTGCCTGCAATTTCTACTGTTCCAATATTTGCAGCCTGGTTCACGCATGCTCTTTCCTGCTCAATCTCCTTCATTATATCCAAATTCCTTTGTATATCACGGGTCATACGCATCCCCATAGCCCTCAATCTACTAACACGAAATCGACCCCTCTCATCAAGATATGTCTGAATACTGTTAACAGGCTCACTAGGTTCATTGAGAACCAATCCACCTGAAGGATTAGAATCATTGCCTGCAATAATTCTATTTGCAAGATTCTGTGAAGGATGTGTTCCTGGCATCTTCTGCTGTGTATCTTTATTTTTCTTTAACCTAGTGGAGGTAAGTTCCCTGCCATATTTAGGAATGCAAAGACAAAGGAGTTGTCAACATTAAAATTCTACAAGATATCAAACTCAATACACGGGAAAAGCACCCAGCTTCATTGACAGCAGCTAATTAAGGCCAGTATTTATCAAGCACTGGAAATTTATTCATTGATAGCCCAAAGTAATTGAAAATAAGATCACTCACTGTTTATCACCAGTAAAAGATGATGAGAATATATATTCTCTGTTGGCTTCAGATGCGATCCGCGAAGTTTGTACACCACCTACTCCTCCTCCAGCTGCAGCTTTCTGTACTTCATCTATCTCTCGTCTAAAAGCAACAGTTTTAAGGTAAGCTTGTATTTGTAGCTCAGAGAATTTTGCAGGATCCTGGAAGGAGCCAATTGAATGATATTTTTAGTACTTTATATCAATGCCCAATCACCACTAGTTCTGAGGAAAAGTAATTCCAATACCAGAATGAACAATAAAAAACCATAACAGCATGAATACCATCAAGCATCAGTAGAGTGCCAAACTAAATCACTAACATGAAGATGGTCCACCGTTGACAACTAGTGAAGTTGGAATACAGCTTAAGTGGTGCAGTCATTACTAATATAAATTGAGAAACATGCCACCGGCCACCCATTTTGAGACAAATACAAATGCTAAAGGGAAAATATCATTACAAACCATATAACACTGCCCAATACTGCTAGGAATCATGTCATCAACATCGCATTAGGTGTTTCAGGATTACCTACTCAGAATCACAGGTTTCAGTTTGCCACAACCAACAGAATTGAATAATAGGGAGTATCATGCTACTTTTTGATGGAATGACCTTAAAGACCTGTTTGGTGGTCAAGATAAGGCTGGATAGGATAGGATAGCTATCATACACATTCTTAATCAAGTGTTTGTTGAGCCACAATGATAAGATTAATTTATCCTGTTACCTATCATGTTCTATTGAACTAGTGTAATTGCTATTCCGAGAATATGGCTGAGTTAGAAGAGGAAGAAAACGATACCAATTGTCATCCCCAAATTCAAATACCCTAAATTTATTCTATTACTCCCTCTCTCCTCTCTTTCTCTCCTCTCTATTTTTATATATTTTTAAAAAATATTAAAATTTTAATAAATATATCAAATTATTTTTATATTTTTTTAAAATTAAAATTTTTTAAAATTATTTATGTATTTTCTATAAATAAAAATAAAATTTAATTTAATAAATATAGACAAAAGGGTAATTTTTTCGTTTTCTGCATATTTATGTCATATCCTTCCTCTTATTAAGTCTGCATCAAACATTGAATATGATAAAAACTTATCATGCTCTTATTATATCCTACTCTTATCTAACTCTCTTATCTTATCCATCAAATATTGAATATAATTAAAGTTTATCATGCTTTTATCATATCCTATTCTTATCCAACTCTCTTATCCTATCCATCAAACATTGAATATGATAAAAGTTTATCATGCTCTTATCATATCCTACTCTTATCTTATCCATCCCGATCATATCCTGGCCACCAAACAGACCCTAAGTATCAATAAGAAATCTTGGGTCTCACTCATTCCCAAAAGCAAGCTCATAAGAGGATTACTTAAATTCTTATAAGGAGTATTTTGACTCTACCCTTAACCAATGTGGGACATCTTAACACACGTCCCTCATGTGCATCAAGTTTGCAGGACTAGACATCTATAGATGTCCCAACAAGACTAAACATCTATGAGTAGCCCAACATTGAAACTGGATGGGCTCTTATACTATATTAAGAAACTTGGACCTAACTCACTCCTAAAAGTTAGCTCATAAGAAGAGAATTATCTAAGTCCTTATAAAGAGTATTCTAACTTTATTCCTAGCCAAAAGTTAGCTCATAAGAAGAGAATTACCAAAGTCCTCATAAAGAGTATTCTAACTTTATTTGTAACTAACGTGGGACATCTTAAGAGTATCAATGGATCAGGAAGATTCTGTTGTGTTACAACCCACTAGGGTCTAAACTCATGATAATGCTGTAATAAAAGAAGCAACCAGCCTATTTACCAATTTCAAGAAAAAGCATGAATTTTCCATCCAGAGTCCCACATTCACATTTCATTTAAAAGTTCAGTAAAAATACTTAACAACAATAAGCCATGCCATGCTAGTGCCACAACTAAATTGCTGATCATACAGCATAAACAACCCAAAAGGTTTTATTACCACTTTCAGTTTTTTATGACAAGCAGTATGTGATTATTCAAAAGAAAATCAACTGAAATCCAAATACACAAGTCTTGATAATACAAGCACTCAGTTCTAACAATGAAAGAACTAGTAGTAGGAATATATTTGCCCCCAATATTTACTAACAATCAAAGACCAATGTCTAAGAGTATACTCTACTATTCATGTCAATCGCAATTTCAACTCGGTATATGATTTACATTTCAATATATCAAAGTTAAATGTGCTTTCCATCAACCTTCTTGACTCTCTGATACTTTTGTCTGTTCTCTGCAATCAGACGCTCTCTCATCTGCAGAATAATTATTCAATCACCAATGTCAGAATAAAAGGTAAAAGGTAAAAGGTAATTAAGCTAGACAATACTTTATGGAATCAACCTGAACAAGAAGGTCCAATTGCATTGATGGAGGCAAAGAGGCTAGAACAGCTGGATCAACTTCACCATGCATAGCTGGCTGAAAAAGAAAGTTTAAAAAAAAAAAAAAAACTATTTTAATTGTTTATTTTCAGATGACCCATATGACAATGCGATAGTTAAGTGGTGGTGTGGGCCAGTAATTTGTATTTAGTAATTGTAGGGCAGTATGGTATGCTGCATGGCAGTTATGTGTATTCTTAAACAGGATGTGTAACAGATTTTTATTGTTTTTGGTTCAATTACTGAAGTTTGTTTGAAGGAGAAGACTTCATTTTAGGGCTTAGGCCTGTTTTATTGTCCTGTATTACAAATGTTAGATTAATTCCAGAATTCTTTCAACTAAATCTTCTAGTTTGTGTATTCAACTCAAGTCTAACACACGGATTGATATTAAACTTAGGAATCATTGCGGTTTCATATATTAATATTACCAAATTGGAAACGAGCAAGATCTGTTGCCTAAACTCTCAGCACAAACCAGATTAAATAACTCAAAGACATAGATGTCTAGAAATATAAACTGACCAGTATCATCTCTTCATTTTCATCATTGTCACCTTCCTCTTCCTCAATAGTGGAAGCCCCAATGGAAGTTGATGCATTATTTACTTTTTCATTTTCCTCTGCAGCAACAGATGCAGCTAACCTAGCAGACACATCAAAACAAATATAACATTTAAAGTTTAAACAAGCAAAAACATAATAACACCAAAATTATGACATTTCATGCAGCTTACATTTCATCGATTGTGTCTTGATTTGACATTCTTGATGTCACATGATCATGTCTTGAGCTACACCCTACGATGTCAGTTTCACTGAGCAGAATCCCTTTGCCCCGATCATTATACTCATGTTTCTGGTTGTCAACTTCCTTTACTAGTCCTTCTGTTTTCTTTCCTTTAAGCTGATATCAAACAATAAACAAAAGTATTTTACTACCAAACCAAATGAAAGACAATATATCATGCAGATGAGTTGTAAGCAAGCCAATATATCGCATGATGTTTTCAAGCAAATATTACCTAATGAATAAGAGAATATTCTTTAAAAACAATCTATCTGATCCTTTTTTTCTTTTCATTTAATGTGTTAGTTAAAAAGGAAGCAAAAACTAATTATAATAACAAGAACAAGAAAAATGATAAAATACTTCGCAGACTAGTTTGGTAGTCCGTGCAATGCACAGGTATTATGCATCATCAAAATATATAATAAAGATTGAAGACATAAAAATTGAAAATTTTGCACGATTATAAAATTAATCAAATATAATATAGTAATAAAGATTAAATTAATTATGATGTATATTTTAACATTACATGTATAGTATTGTGTTAGAAAGATATAAATATAAAAAAGATTGTGCATTTTATATATATAAGACTGTGATAGATAGAAAGGAGTAAAAGATATCCTAATGTTAAAAGTAAATTTTTTATAACTAACTAAAGAAAGCAAAGTGAGAGAGTATTTGAGAACAAAATGAATTTTGAGAAAAGAATTAATGAAAGTAATGAATTATATAATTTCTAATAGAGAAAACATGTTTTCTAAAATTAAAAACATGTAATTATTGATAATTTTGGCTAGGAGTATTGCAAATAATAAATTAAACATTATGAATTTTATAAATGTAAACATAAGTATTTATAGAAAATTTTGAAAGTTTATTTAAGGTAATAAAGAATTTTGTAGAAATGTAAAGATAGGAATTTAGAGAAAATCTAAAAATTTATATTTATTTAAGGTAATAAACAAAAGTTAAGTAATAACTTCGATCATCATAATTTAGAATGAAATTAACAAAAACATGGGTAAAAAGTAAAAATATTGCAGCGAAAGAGAGTGTAATTCACAAATCATTCTTAGACAATTTTAATCTTAAAATATACACATGGCAAATTGTGAAGGATAGTAACTTCATTGAATGTTTCACTTCCCAAAAAGTAGACTCGTTTATATTAGAGAGGTTGATATATACCTGCGCGAGAATATCAAGCTGCATTGACTCTGGCAAAGCAGCTAATACTGCTATATCAACTTCTGCATTGACTGATTGCTGAGAGAAGAAAATATAGATGTAGCAACAAGAAGTTAAAAGGATTCAACAAATTTAGTAGCATTAACAGAAAAAATCAGGATGCAGTAACCCATTTTAATCCCTAATATTGAAGCATGGGTCAATTTCTTCATAAAAAAAAACATCAACAATTTTTATTTAATTTTTCAATGCCACTCAATAAAGTCAATGACTGAATTGAGGATTTTGTAAAGTCAAGGACTAAAGTGGCAAATGATTACAATTTTAGGGACTAGAATGAGAGTTTATTGAAAAGCAATGACCCCCAGCAAAACAGGTAGACACCAGAAGAAATAAAGGTGCAGCAGGGGAATATTATCCCTGAGATGTTAGCTGACCAGGACAACTAATTCTGTTAGGACAGTGACAGTACTAAACTATCAATCTGTGAGGGGGAAGTTATTGTAACCAAGGGGGTCTAGTGAATAAATAGAGGATGTCACTGGATGGGGACATGATTCTTGCAATCTGAGAGAGTGGGAGTGGTGGACTTCTCAAATGATCTTGCTAAACAGTGTAGTCTACATTCTTTCCTGATTCAGGTCCGTTACCCCACTGGCGCAGGCTTGCTTAGGATTTCTCAATAAAAACACCAAGCTCCTTCTAATTCTAGTTTAACATTTACCTTTTAAAACATAAGAACTACAAAGAAAGATAAATATAGCCTCATTTCCCCACAATGAATTTGTTGTTACATTCTTGGACATGTATGACTTATGATCAAGAAGGAAAAAGCATATACACATAAATAATAGAAAATTCATTAGGCTACTTGTAATAATTTCATCCATGTACATTTGCAAATTTACCAGCATAGTATCTTCATCTGCATAACATTCCCCTTCTGAAGGATTAATTACAGTAGAGGCCACTCCTGTTCTGTCAAGTATTCCATTTTCCTCAGCAGCTATAGATGCTGCCAACCTATCTTAGCATCCAAACATTATAGACAAGTCACAACCAAATTCAAGATCAATTGTATAAAAAAAATTTTGTGCAACTTATACATAAGATACTCCATGGCTTTTGGCTCCTTCATTTAGGATAAACATATAGGTTGCATACATTTCATCAAGTTCCTCCTGGTTGCAGCTTGTCAATATTGTTGGAAAATTTCGGTCCACCTTAGCTGCAAATTTAGCTGCAGACCTAGATAAATAATTCAAACAATGAAAATAACTGACAAAAGAACACATCTACGATTCACAACAGCATATGCGGTTTACATTTCATCTAGCTCTTTCAGATGACTTCTTTCCAAATCATAGCCAACAAAGTCCTTCTCAATAGATTTTTTCTGACCCTTAGTATCACTATCCAGCTTCATCCTCTGGTTCTTAACATCATCAGCCAGTTCCTTCAACCTTAGTGCCTTTAACTGTAAAAATGAAAATAAAAATCGAAAAATAAAATATTTAGCAAGTAATAAATAATGAAAAAAATATTGAATCCCCATCATAATGTACTTAATGTGCTATATCTTCTCCTCACTAGCATAAATGGTACTGTTTGGTAGTAAGGAAACTAAGTAAGCAGAAACGAAAATGAAAATCACACCATTTTGAGATATCCAAGATCCATAAAATCACAAATATTATACAAGCATACATCTCCAAAATCACATTTTCGCACAAACTACAATGAACACAACTCGCAATTAAGCAGGTGAAGGAGAAGCATAAAATATATAATATACCAAAATCACATGGACAATCATTTAGAGCGTGCTTAAGGTGGAAAATCGGGAGGAGTGTGCAAATAGAATGAAATGAAAAGCCCCTTTAAAACTACAGAATCAACACATTTTTCCACAGACTTCTCTCCCAACACGGACAATCATTTATGAGGGCGAGATTAGAGTGGAGTGAAAAGCTTTTCATTCTCACTCATCGCCACGTAGCAAAAGGGTGGCAAAGAAATATATAAAAAAATGTAAATAAATTGCACTCAAATTTATCCATCCAACATTTTAGTACAACGAAGCAAATGTGAAGTAATTCTTTTGTGTGTCTAATTTTCCTTGTATATTCCAACGACGAATGAGGTTGCACAAAATTAGGGGGAGAAGAAGGAGAAATCATGGCTCAGTGGTTCTACATGATTGAGTAGCAATTTCTCCGCAGTCTTGCGGACTTTGGCTTGGGCGTTTTCGCGCTGTCTGCGGCGGGCGATAACTGTGCGGCGCTTGAGGGCGGGGGTTCCGCCGTCGAAGACGAAAACTGGCTTCGTCCGTAGGAACAGAAGCTTGCAAATACGGCGGAAGAAGCCGAGCAAATGAGCGTTTTGAACCATTTCGCCCTTCTCGTCGCGCATCGCCTTCACGAACTGCACCATCCATATGCTCGCGTCTGAAATTAGAGGAAAAAAGGGTCACAGGATTGATTGTTTCTTATCTAAGGCGATTGATGAGACGGCAAAAAAAAATAGAGTAATAGGGTTCGAGGGGGTACCGACGGCGAGCGTTTTTCCGGTAAGGGTTTCGACGGAGACGCGCCGGCCGACGGGGGCCAGTAGTTCCCAGAGACCGTGGACTCCCATTCTGTTGCTTCCCGGACTTGTGCTTCAATCGCGTGTTAGTTATATATTATTTAAGTTGGTCGTTGCGAAATATTACTTTATAAAATTAAAAGCCTTTATATCTTATTTCAAAAGTTCGATAAAATTATACGTATCTCATAAATTTTAGTTAAATCATTATAATAAATATATAATGGTTTTTTAAAAAATTTAGTCAAGATGCACCGGCCTTACACTATGTCTATAGGCCTGATGAAAAACTTAAGGCTCGACAAGAATGATGCTAATCAAAGGCCCGAAAATGTCAATGTGATTTTCTTAACTGACCGGATCCAATTCAAAAACAGGTTCCTAATTTTGGCTCCATTTGTATTTGTCAACTTCTGTATTTCATCATAAATTAAGGTAGACACGCACTGTTATTAAATAGGTCAGTTATAACTAATTTAACCTTAATTTATATGAGTTAAATGTTTATTACGTGAAAAGCTCACAAAACTAAAATATTCATAGAATTAAATGGATTAGAGTTAATCCATAGACCAATTATCTTTAAAAAAATATATTATAATCTATTAAAAATATTTATTTTGTATAATATATTTTTTACCATAAATTTATAAATAAATAAATTATTTAAAAATAGATTAAAATATTTAAATTTGTATAATATTAAATATTTAGAATAAATTAATATTATTAAATAATATTAAATATAATATAATAATTTATTATTAAATTAAATTAAATTCTTATCTAATTTTTATTTGTATTATTGATAATTATTAAATTGTAGTAACATTTTTCATTCATATAATTTTATAAATAATTTATTAATATGTTATTTTATAATTTTATTTGAGTATTAATCATAAAATTTTTCATGTTTTAATATTTTTATATTATTATACTTTATTTTTTATTTTTATAAAATTATTTTAAGAACATCATATGTTCAATAAATATTTTTAAAGTTACAATAAAGATATAAAACTAACAACCAAAAAATAACATTAGTTAAATTTATTAAGTCATCTATTATTAAATTATCAAAATATTCAAAATTATTTATTTATGTGAAATTTAATGTGTTAAAAAAAAATACAATATTGTCATCATGAAAATCATAAATATGTGATATATAATATTACAAATTTATGGATGCAGAAAAATAATTTATGACTTAGCAAAAGTTAATGAATATTTGCAAATTTAAAATTTAACTTATCTTAATTTGATAAAATTTATTTTTAAAGTAAAATAACTTGATTAGATAGAATTGATAAATAAATAAATAAAATATAGTTTTATATTTAAAATATAATTTAATAAAAATGATAAACAAATATATATGTTTTTTACTAAAAAGTAAATAATATTAATTATTCTATAAAAAATATATTTATTTTTTTATAAAATTATTTTAAGAATATCACATGTTTAATAAATATTTTTAAAGTTACAATAAAAACACAAAAACTGACAAGAAAAAATAATGTGTTAGCTAAATTTGTTAATTCATATGTTATAAAAAAATAAATGCAATATCATTATCACAAAAATCATAAACATGATATTTAATATTGTAAAATTCATTTATGTAAAAGTAACTAGTGAACTTAGCAAAAATTAATGAATATTGGCAAATTTAAATTTTGGCTGATCTTAAATTGATAGAATTTTTTATTTTTTAAAATATATTTTTATATTTAAAATATAATATTTTATAAATTTTAAATAAAATAATTAATAAAAATGATAAACAAACACGTTTTTTATTAAAAAAAATATAATATTATTAATTACTCTCTAAAAAAATTGGACTAACTCACTCACTCTAACCCTAACCTATATTTTATTTATATATTAAGGCTGTTAAAGTAAGCCCACAATGAATAAAGCTTAAAAAAATTGAGACTATATAGTCGGTTGTGTGAAAGGAGTTTGTGGGCTTAAAATCAAATTGACAACTTTGACACACAAATATCAAGAAACATGATAAGAACATTTTCTTTATAATTTTTGGCGCAATTATGTAGTTCTCATTGTTGTTCCTCTAAATGATGTGTTGGGCCCTACATTTCTTCTCGCCAACTTTATTTTACTCTTTTTTTTCCTTGACCCAAAATATAATGCCAAGAACCTATCTCCCAGGAGAGAGAGAGAAATGTGACTTTATACCTTAGAAGTAGAGAAAAATTAGAGTAAGGTGTCCCTATTACTATTCATAATTCAATCTCTATTTCTATACTTGTGTTGCGTTAATATATGAATGATATATAAAAATTATAGGCTAGATTTTTTTAAAGATAAACTTAAGTATCATCACATTTATTGAGATGTCCTTATTCCAAATAGTTATATCTTCATTTTTATATTTGTCTTAAGTAAATTTTCAAGTCTTAAAATTTTTATTTTTAATGTATATTAGAGTTAATTAGATCTAATTTTTGTATACAATAACACTAATATCATATAGTAACATTATATAAGAGTGCTAAATAGGTTACATATCATTTTATTTTCTCCTAAAATATTTTATACATCATAAGAGAAACAAAATGTCTACATAGTAACCCTTAAAACATATAATTCACATGATAGATAAACGAGGAAAGTCATTATGTATTCATAACATTGCTAAAGGACACAAACCAAAGAAATGTGAGTATAAACATTCATAAATCATATCTTAAGGCAATATCAATTGCTTAGTGAATAAAAGACAACCAATAAATCAATCGACAATCAATCAAGCATTGCAATGTCTTTTATTTATGTTTTCTCTATAGAATAATTAATTATTCACTTCTTTAAGTTATGGGTTGAAGATTGAGAGTTCTATGCCTGCAATCCAAATAGTGCCCTAGGTACAACATCTAAACAAAGAACTGAGTGTTAGTGCAAATTCTATAATGATCACTCACAATGGTTTACATATTAACTAATCTCGATATGCTCTAGTCTTATAAGAATAATTTAACATATTTTTCATTGCCTACGACACAAATTAGCAAAGTTTGGTCTCTTACTAGGACTTTGGTACTTCGCTATCTTACATGGACACACCAACAATATTTGTTTCTCGCCTGTACCTAGTGTTCTCAACCATTTTTCTTATGAAATCCATTCATAATGACAAACAATTCACAACTATTCATGACCACCATTAAGTTTATTTCGTACAAGTTTCAATATAATTACACATCCCTTAAAAAGAGAACAATTCATATCATGAACATAACTAATTTTTGAATTTTCCAAATTTCATACACCAACTTGTAAAATTCATAACTAAATCAATACAAGTCTAAATATTATAAAATCAATGAGGTTCTCTTTATCTATGTGTCTACTTTCACAAAAAAAATATACACATAAATTAGACACCCACAAATAGTAACACTCAATCCAACTTCTCTTTGTTATTCACATAATGCCATTTTCATAACCTAAGATATTGAAAAATTTACAACTTATTTATTATACCTCCAAAAATTATGAAATCAATGAGGTTGTATTCCTATAAATATTTATTATATATAAAAATACTAGCAAACAAACCATTACATATTTTAATTCGAGAGCTACTTTCTGCTTGCATGTCACATGTTGTCTTATTTCAGTAACAAACCTCAGAAAAATTTATAACTTACTCATTTTAAATTCAAATGTTATGAAATCAATGGAGTTGTTCTACTCTGTTTTCACGGTTTAGGCTGCTCCCATTTCGCTCGTTGCTACTACGGGAATCGCTTTTGCTTTCTTTTCCTCTGGCTACTAAGATGTTTCAGTTCGCCAGATTGTCTCTTGACTGCCCGTAGATTCAGCAGCAGTTCGAAAGGTTGACCTATATCGGGAATCCCCAGATCTACGCTTATTTTCAACTCCCCAAAGCATTTCGTCGCTTACTACGCCCTTTCTCATCTCTAGGTGCCTAGGTATCCACCATAAGCCTTTCCTCGTTTGAACCTCGCCTTATGTATATCTATTTTCAAGAAAAAATATATATTCAGACCTGAGGCTCACAAGTCACTCTATATATTGAGAACAAACACTACCAAAAACATGCAAAATACATATGGATTTACAAATAAAATCAACTCATCTGTAATTTCTTCATCGATAAATCAATACAAATGAATTTTTAAATTTGTCTGTGAATTATAGATGAAAAAATCTGTCTCTAACATTACAAATATATTTTTCCTGTATGTAATATTTAATTTTATTTTTCTTTTATTTACTTATGTAATTATTCCTCATTATTCTTAATTATCATAATAATTTGTAAGCATAAAGAAAATTATAAAATTAAAATTCAAAATTTTAAAAATTATTTCAAAAATATTAAATTAAAATATCATTACAATTAAAGAAGTAAACATCTAAAATAATAATGTGAAAAGTAAAATAACAATGTTTATCATGAGTACTCAGCATGATCATTACCAAGAGTAACGTCATCATCATCAGTAAAGGATGAGGAGGAGGATGAACATCACATTATCCCAAATACTGGCAGTGGTGCTGGAGCTGGTGGATGAGGAGGAAGAGGTGTGAAGCTGCTTGCTCTTATGAGCTCGAAGTATGCATGCATCTGTTGCATCTGTGTATGCTGCTACTGCATTTGTTGTTGCATCTCTTTCTGCATCCTTAATGCCACCTTTTTTCTCTATCTTTTTTTCTATTTTTTTTCCACCTCTCTTTCATGTACTCTCATTGGTCTTCTATATCTTTTCATTTTTCTTCTTGAGTTCTTCATTAAAGGTATGGACTTAAGTGCGAACCATGTCCTCTACCATCTCAAGCGCAAGAGAAAAGGCATCCCTGGTGATAGATGCAGGTGTCATCGAGTCTGCGAAGTGACTCCCTATGCTATAAATGTAGCCTTTATAAAGGTCGCCCACTATCTCTAATCACATTGCATCCTCATCAATGAACTCTAGGTTCTCAATAAATGCAACCTCCTCCAGCATTTGAACATAGTCATCCTATAATGTAGTGCAGATAATTATATATTAGCCTTGAGAAATATTTTTTAAATATTTAATAAATAATATAAT